TACAGGCCCAATAGAAAAGGAGCCAGGCCGAAAAAACTGGAAGCCTTTATAAGCGGTAGACATTGTACTTCACACCGGAAGTAGAGCCCCCATTCCGAGAGATGACGCTATTAGAGTGCTGGGCTTGATTATGGAGTCACACGGTTACAACGAACAAGCCATCGCTAAGATTTCAACCAAGACTGATAACATGATCAGGTTGATTGATAGAATTTTGAACAGAAAAGGGGGACTTAGAGAGAACAATCTACTGAGGATCTTCCATGCATTCCTCAAGACTCTTACAACGTACGCTGCTGCCATGCACTCTTGGTGTTGATTTGAAAAGAAGCTGTAAACTCTGATCCGAAAAAGCGTAAAGAGGGTGTTGGGCAGCGCCGTGCGGACAAGCACTGAATGGCTTATGCAGCTAGGAGTTCATAACACCCTAGATGAAACATTGAATCCCAAGAGACTGCACAGCTAATTCGATAGATAGATAGATAGATAGATAGATAGATAGATAGAAAGAGATAGATATAGATAGATAGATAGATAGATATAGATAGATAGATAGATAGATAGATAGATAGATAGATAGATAGATAGATAGATAGATAGAAGATAGATAGATAGATAGATAGAAGATAGATAGATAGATAGATAGATAGATAGATAGATAATAGATAGATGATAGATAGATAGATAGATAGATAGATAGATAGATAGATAGATGATATATAGATGATAGATAGATAGATAGATGATAGATAGATAGATAGATAGATATAGATAGATAAGGCCACGGCATCAAACACATTAGTGCTAAAATGAGCACCTGCGTAGGTCCACACGTTGCCTCACGGAGGCGTAGCGAGTTCTTGGCTCATTCGCAACTAGAATGAATGGTGATGAACTGGCATTTCACACAACTGCACTTGCACTAGGCATTTGGGAAGTCTTGAAACGTCCAATGTGAATGTACACGGACATTCATTTCCTTGCGACACGGTCGAGCCGTCCTCAGAGAACCTGACATGACGGTCGAAGGTTCGATCCCAGCCGCGACGGTTGCTTTCCAATCAAGGCAGAATGTTAGAAAGCCCGTGTACTGTGCGTTGTCGGTGCACGTTAAAGGACGCCAAAGGTTGAAATTTCACGATCTGTCTACGGCGTCGCTTATAATCATCTTAGTGTTGAGACATAAATGTCACATATTATTACTTATATAAAGTATATAATAACAAAATTTATATATTTATTATATTATTATTATTATTATTATTATTATTAGTATTATTATTATTATTTTCCTCTGCGCACCGAACAAAACCAGGCTAGCAAACGTAAAAAGAAGCGCCCACGGCCCGATTACGTTATCGCGTTTTACCCCTTAAAGGAGAAGATCAAGTGCCCTTCAACTACTCAAAGCTAACGTTATACCTTTCTTCGCAACAGGCATAACAGTGCAAAACCTGAGTATTCATTCAATAAGGAGAGCCACTAGGGAAGCATAAAAGAAGCAGGATCGATGTTAATGTGTCCGCGAACATGCGCAAACCTTTCCACTGTTCATGCTAAAGATAAGGTGCAAGCTACTTTTCAGTTCACAAAAAGTCTTCGAATGAACTCAATTGATTGATATGTGGGTTTAACGTCCAAAAACCACCATTCGATAATGAGAGACGCCGTAGTGGAGGGCTCGGGAAATTTCGACCACCTGGGGTTCTGTAACGTGCACCCAAATCTGAGCACCACGGGCCTACAAGATTTTCGCTTCCATCGAAATGCAGCCGCCGCAGCCGAGATTGGAACCGCGACCCTGTGGGTCAGCAGCCGATTACCTTAGCCAACTATAACCACCGCGGCGGGGCTCGAATGAACTCAAACGACCATTTCATGTATCCTGCCTTCGATTATAACACAACTCATTTAGCAAACCACTGAGTTGTTCAAGAAGTGCGAAGGAGTGCCACGTGAATCATTTCTACAACGACAACAAACGATCATAGTTTCCTGTTACTCTAAAGTAATAATATGATTACCCCCCTTAACACTTTTGCGGTGGGTGATGCATCTCACTAGATATCAGGGTGCTAGGATTGAATGGCAGCCACTTTTGTATTCTGTTTTCTTGTGGTGAGACTACAAAAACGATGCAGGCGTGCAGTTTGGCTGTCAAATAAACTATGATAGCGACTGTAAACTAACTAGCATCGCAATAGGTTTCAAGTGGGTATGCCATGGTGAAGAAAATACTAGAGCACTTCGACGACAGACAGAAAGGTCGTTATATAAATCCTGTACCTTTGATCATTCGACATCTATGCCAATAACGCGTCACAAAATGGAGAATAAGTCAAGTCATATGGAAGACAATCCACCGAATACAACGGGATGGTGCTCATACGGCCGCTTGTGTTTATCTCAGCCTTGGTAGCGTAGCGCTATAATGAAAGCGAAAGTATTGAAACTGTTGCATTCTGCTGGTCGTGACGGTCTTGGCTAGAAACCTAGACAATAAATACTACAGAGCGGTTCCACGCACATGGGAGTCGACGTTATGCGAGGCGGGTGGAGGCAAGGTTGACCGGGTTGTAATTTTTTATTGAGCGACATGTCATGGAATGGACGCTGAACATATTTGAAATAGTTATCACGCACAGACGGGTGTTGAGTATTGCAGATATTGATACAACCAATTTGCACTTTGCAACGATGCCAACAGCAACATTAACATTAGCGCCCCAAAAAGCCATCGGCTTTGGGCTGCTAATGTTAATGTTGCTTCATTGATATGAAGCGCTGGTGCTCGCGAGCATAGTAGCCCTGGACCCGGCTATATAAATAAACATTAGCGAATGGCACCCAACTACAATTGACGTTAACTCACAGTGACGGCTGTATCAATGAATACACACTTAAGCTTATAAATCAGATAAGCAGCATTACGACCACAATGACAATTCACGAATATTGGGGTCTACTTGAAAAGCAGTTCTGATGCCTAGCATGACTCTGTGGTAGAAGCTTGATTGCCCACCAGAATGCTTGCGTTCTATTCCTATTGGGACCCCGACAATTATTCTTTGCATGTGTGTTCTCGTCATTCTTAGGTAGGTGATAAGTTCAGATCACCTGTGGCACATGCCCGTATGCCAGTGGCCAATACCCGCCCGTGAGTATGTGACACTGTTTGGTGGGAAGTGTTTGACGGCGTATACGACAGGATTGTGAAGTTATTCATGTGTCGAGCTGCGCGCCAGATTCATAATACATCTTACCCTCCCATACTAATTTTGGTTCACGCTAAGTTAAGGGGTATACGTGAGAGCAAACAGACGTAAGCGGCTATACAGACAGACAGACAGACAGACTGACAGACAGATCGATAGATGGATAGATAGATAGATAGATAGATAGATAGATAGATAGATAGATAGATAGATAGATAGATAGATAGATAGATAGATAGATAGATAGATAGATAGATAGATAGATCGATAGATAGATAGATAGATAGATAGATAGATAGATAGATAGATAGATGATAGATAGATAGATAGATAGATAGATAGATAGATAGATAGATAGTAGATAGATAGATAGATATATATAGATAGATAGATAGATAGATATATAGATACTCATATAGGCGCCAAAAATGCTTACAAAACGTAAAGAAATGCTTCTCATTTATTACAGGACATCGAGAAAACTACAACAGCGATTCAAGCTGCAAAAAGCATAAAATAATAGGTGCAACAACATGAGGTAGAAGTATAGCACACGGGATCACAGAACAAACAGAATTGGCCGATCTCATAGCCAGTGCTGATTGAAAACACATTTCTTTCGTGCCGTGTGATTTAACGTATATTCTGCAATGATCAATGCATGAGCTTTATTTTTGCCCTTTTGGTATTTTCCGGTTACTCAAACAGCCCGATGACACCGTCCTTTTTCGATATTTGTCCGGTTACTGAAACACCCCATTGACACCAAGATGGTGTCATGTATTGTGCTGGTTGATCAAAATGGGTCACTTAAAGCGCCTGGTGAAAACGAGCTCATTGGCGAACAATGATGACTGCCCCTGGTAAGCAGTTGTTTTGTCTATGGCTGTCGTGGATCGGGAGAGTGCTGCAGTCCATAACACGCAGCACAGCAGCTCCCACCGTTTGACGTGCTGCGTTATCTGTGCGCTGTGTTCTGAAGTAAGAGAAAGAAGCACTTTGGCAGGCGAAGGACTACAGATTGAACTGTCGTCCAGCGGACGCACTCACGAGGGTACCTAAATAAATAAAATAAATAAAAATGCCTTCTCTGGGCATCCTGTCAGTTACCCTTAATGACCAACAATTATTCTGCCTACCTGTTACGTGTCTGGCCCATGTGCAATTCTTCATTTGAACTATATTATTCTTAACCCCCGTATTCTTCTAACCCTTTCTTAAGGGGGGATGTGACAATGTAAACTATCTTTGTCATTTTTTAAAGATGAAGTAATGAAATTTGGCACGTAGATGTGATTTGTTGTGCTGATATAACTGAAATTGGTTTTTTAGCTCTCTGTTACGGCTTATGAGTTACAGCAATTAATAGACTCATTGTCATCCTAAAATTAACAGATGGGACCTAATTTCAAGATTTTTGCATAAGCATGTTCACAAGAGTCAATTCTGTGCCGTAAAGCTATTGGTTTATTTTATATTTAAGTAAGCATACAACATTTTTTTAATGTGCTCCATATATTATCTTATTATCTAACAACATTTACAAAAAGTCACTTATAAAAGTCGGCATGACATGCAGACAGATATGAACAGCTTTATGGCACTCATCAATGCCTCTGAAATGATTATACAGTTGACTCTCGTTAATTCATACTGAAAGGAACCTCTGAATTTGGGTGAGGTGACACCACACATTATGATCAGGCATTGATTTCATCACATTTAAAATTTTTTAAAGTGTTTTTAAACCCTAACTGCACGCATTGAACAGAAAGCAGAGGAGTAAGGGCCACAAGTTTATTGGCCTTTGACTGCTGATGAGACCTTTTGAAGAAATCATGAATTGCCAACTGCTCCTTTGCTTTAGGTATGTGCTTTCAGCACAAAACTCTCTATACTAGTTGAAAAGCACCACGGATTATCATGCGTGTGCTTTGTTTCAAACATTTGTTTACTAGCAATGCCTTTTTTCTTGAAGGCCTGAGGTGCTTATTTTTCATGTTTAGACTGCTAGGATTATATAGGTAAGCATGAAAATTTTTAAATAGTAATGGGATAGCAGCAGATATTTTGTGGCATGGAACTGCAAAAAGTGTAAATTAACTGAGTAATGAAGTTTGAATTAAGAGGCTTTTAAATACATTGAAAGAAAGGAGGGCCAACCAAAAAATTGAATTTTGTTTGAATTAACCGAACATATGAATTATCAGAGTGAATTATTGCGAGTCTACTGTATTTTAATTGTTGTGGAAAGGTATAGGGATGACTGGCGGCAACTGCGAAAAAAATGAAAGCTGTGAAAATAGAGCTCTAAGAAAAGGAAGCTAAAAAGCTAAGAAAATGGAACTCTGAAGGAAGCTGGTTTTATTTTTCATTGGAAAAATGCAGCATTGAGCTCTGGGATGGCAGACATTTTGGTTCACCACTTGTCCAGTTTAACCAGAGTAACTGTATATGGTCCCTACGGCACCAGAGAAGCGCTACTGTTTTCTAATGCCGCCAGCAACCATGCTTTGCGGAGAAGCTGACGCTCAGGCCACTTTTGTGTTTTCCAACACCGCCGCTGCATTGGCGCAAATCATCAACAGTCAAATTTGAAGCGAATTTGTCTAGTGTTCGCGCCTTTTCTGAACCTGGTTCATGGATGTGTGCAAGTGACTGTGGATCAGCTCTATGTGCGCACCACAGCCGGCAATGTTTGTAACCACTATTGCACCAAAAAAAAACCTACGTAAAAAAACATTTTCTTACTTGGGAATCGAACTCGAATCTTTTGCGTGGCATTACAGTACTCTACTGCAAAGCTAAGCCGAAATTTCAAACTGCACTTTAAACTGACTTTATGTAGGCTGCATATTGAGTAAGGATTTGTGTTAACATGTGTAATAAAGCATTTTTGAACAGTGAAGTAACAATCATGCATCACACAATGCGAATTGTGCGAAGAGTGCGTCGCTATACTCTTACGCACTTCAAGAGCATCGGGCATAATTCTTCATTGCTTATATTCACTACTCAGGTAATTTCATGTAATGACAAAATCAATTGATGTCGCTTTTCATCAGCGTGATGTGAATACTGAATATTCTTGCTTGTTGTCTGGTCAAAAATTCTGAAAATGCACAAAATGAGAATGCCGCAAGACAAAAGAAGTTGATAATCTTCGCTCTGCACTTTTCGCCACTCTCTGAGCAAGAATGTCACGTTTTTTTACCATGTTATTTAGTTGGCTCTTACGTTGCACTTCGTCGCAATCGGGCAAAAAAGTGGCTTTCAAGTACTTGTAACATTGCGTGAATGATGCAAGCCAAGTATGTCGATATACAACACTGCAGGCGTATCACCTGCAAAAACAGAAAACGACTTTACCGCATAGCTGTGGTTGCTAGCCAGGCAAGTTGGCAGACCTATGCGCTACTCTGGTCCTGTAGGGACCATATACAGTTACTCTAAGTTTAACAACATGAAAATTAAATTTTGAACCACGGGCATCATTCCCCATAGTAACGTCCGGCAGATCTTTTTTTCAAGAATCAAACAGAAACGAATTAGCAGCATTTTATTGCATCTCTTGACGCACGGAAGGTTCTTTATTTAGTGCAGCTAGATTGATTACTAGTGATAATTTTAGGCGGTTCAACTAACATGATTGGAATCATATTGATAATGTCCTGCTTCGGTCATGTATACCTGTGCATGTATACCTGGTCATGTATACCTGTGCAAAAGTGCTCCTAATATATGAACACTTTTAGCCGTTCACTGTGTTCGGGACTTTTTCTCCAAATCTTGTCCACACAAAAAAAAAAATACATATAAGGTTGCACTTTCACGTGTTCTCTGATGAGAAAAAATATTGTAGTCAACAAGTGTGCTAAGTCCACTCTGACTGCACAAATTGCGAATGTGGTGAAAAAAAGTTCTTGACAGCTGAAAATTGTATATGTATTTTTTATCTGCATACACTTGCAAAAAAAGTTATTTTTTCACAAAAATAACTTCAGATTGATTGTTCATAGTTGAAAACATCAAAATCTGTTATGGTGACGAGGACTCCTGTTTGTTTTTATCTGAAATCACCCATTATATTTCCTGGTAACGTAAAGCTACACATATGATGTGTCGACATTTTACATGTTAATTTTTTTTCTACCTTTCTTTTTTCAGTCTAAATATACCAGCACATATCTGCTTTCGGTCGGTCAGGCAAAGAATATACTGGATCCTTTTCCGAGGCGACAATTCAGTGATTATAAGGGAGCATGTTACATACCCTGGATACATTGGAATTGTAGATGAGGCTGTGCCAACTGCTTCTATGCATATTCAAGGTAGGTCTCTTATATCTTGGCTAGTTTGATACTTACAGTAATGATTAGCATCCTACTTGTCCTGAATTCTCGCAATAATTGACCACTTGCAAAGATTGTTGATTCTACTTGTCCTAGCTCATCCTAATAGTCTAAAAATTGCTGCACTCTACTCCTCAAGGTTAGAACTTCACTTCAGAAGAACTGCATGCTATGTCTACGATAATTAGTATTTACATGCACTTGCTGTGTTTTCCAGCCAACTCTGGCTAACCTAGCTAAAAAAAACAACAAAAAGGTGCAGCAAGATATAATAATATAACGAATGGCATTTCATTAGTGGTTCCCTCATGCACACAGTTATTTTATTTTCTTTCATTGCTTCCTTATAGAATTTTCTATATATAATAAATTATGTAGCTGAAGACTGTTGCCATTATTCATGCTACCTTCAAAAGATCTTCCCTCCACTCACTCAGTTATGACGATTACTGACTGGCACACCGTATTTACTCCTGTAATAAACCCACCCTTCCTTCAGTAATGTTGATGCCAATTTGAGGGGAGGGTTGAATAGGTGGGAAAAAAAAAGGTCACAGAAGTTATAACAGCAAAAATTTTGCATGATTGTTTTGGCCCGCAAAATGACCGACAAATATTTTTTATAGCCCAAGGCTCTTCCTGTTTTTTGTTGTAACGAATGCACACAGATCGACGCCGAAGTGTCGTCCAGCCGCTTGGTTCCGATGCTCCAGCAAGCAAAAAGTTTCTTCGGCATTCGACAGATGGTGTTCTACCACGAAAGGCGCGACTTTTCAATTTTGATTGACGTCGTTCGGGCTCGCGCTTCTTGCAATTGTTTCGCGTGGTTGCCTAACTTTGTTCTGACTTTTAGTGCGTCGTTATTTTGTGATAAAACGGCTTGATTTAACGTTGTTTCAATCATCAACGACACTGGCTATTACACCAAAATAAAATGAACAGATACATTACAATTTTTTTCTTTTTTTCAAGGACCAAGATGGGGGTGGGTTCATTATGTGAGTGGGTTCATTACACAAGTAAATACGGTAAATGGCATGCATTGCATTTTTCTGGGTGAGTCACTGTAACCCATTACACGCACCACGCCCTAAAGGCATTTTGTGCCCTCACAACACACTGGTCTCAGCATACCTGTATGACGACAAAAGTCTGTGCATCCAGCAGGAGATCAGAAGAGAGAAGTCTGACATGGATGAACGAACACACAGATTTTAGCCTTTGACAATTTAAAGTCATTGAATTACAAATGGCAGATACCTACTCCTTCGTATCTGTCCTTATCATAAAAGAACATTGTAGCTGTAAATCGGCCTTGGTAGATCAGTGCTTAGGTACATTGCTCAGGTATTGAATCGAAGCTCGCGGGTTTGACACTGGCTGCGGCGGTTGTATTTTTTCCGATACAAAATGGTAGAGGTCCATGTACTGTGCAATGTCAGTGCATATTGAAGAACACTAGATGGTCTAAATTTTTGGAGCACTTCACTGTGGCATCTCTCATAATCATTTCATAGTTTTGAGATGTTAAACAACAGATATTATTATTATTATTATTATTATTATTATTATTATTATTATTATTATTATTATTATTATTATTAGTGCTAAAAATTTTAGGCCCTTATACAGTCACTAAACATTGTCATTAATCACATCCTGTGTCATGACCTGGCACTTTGGTCAGTACTGGCCCTTCTGTCATAAAAGCGCCATATATTATCTCCAGATTCACTTTCTGCCTTGTAAGATTGTGGCCTTGCTTCAACAATCCCAATATGAAATCACAAGTACTGTGGGACTGTGTTGCTGAGCTAAAGGACTAGGGTCACCTCCAGTTTTTCTTTGTGTACGATATTCTTAAAGGCCCTGAGCGTGGTGTAAAGGATGAAGGACCAATAATTTTTAGTACTCTATTATTTAGTGCACTTTTTAATTAGACTACATTATTGACTTAGAACTCAAGAGCAATCATCAAGGACACCACACAAAGAATCAAGCCTAGTGAAGGAGTCTGAATGAACTTGTCATAGAACTGTGCCACGAAAAGATGTTTACCATGTCATTAGTGAAGTCCAGTATTTTAGTACCGTCATTGTAAAGTGTTTTCTTTTTTTGTCACCACTCCCCTCCCTCAGGCGGAGTACCACAGCTCAGTCACCTCTGGTCTCCAGACCCATCCTTGCATCTTGTGCGCTGGCGACTCTTCTGTGGTTGCTTGGAAATGGAGGACCAGATTCAGGAGATCAGCGTGCTCCCTCCCACCTATGTGGTGTTTTGTTGTGTGCTGCATCATCTGTTTCGAGCCAGAATCATCGAGGAACCAGAGCTTTGTGCTTTGATCCTGCAATGCATCCTGCCATCTGGGACAAAACTTGAGCTTTTAAAAAGGCGAATCCCCGTGAGTTCAGATGCATGCAAATAGTTAAATTAATTATTATTTGTATGTACATAATTGTGCAAGCGCAGTTAAAGGGGTCATGAACCACTTTTCCTGGTAATCGTTGGAACGATCTCATTTATTTATTTATTCAGGAATATCCTGCTTTGCCAAAAAGCATGTAAGCAGGGGGTTACAGCTTGAAAAAATAAGTCTTCGTTATTGCAGCACACTTGGTCGCAAGACAAATGATTCCACTGTACTACAGTGTGAACAAAAAAGAATATGCTGATAAGTTCATTCTAGTCCGGTATTCTTTAATTTTAAGGGATGATTGCATTTTTTGGACAGATGATACGGCGGCTTAAAGTACTTGTCTTTGTTAATGCTAGTCTTTTTGTTGTATATCTGAAATAACATTTTAAGCGCCATTTTCTCCTGCGAAAATACAGCGCTTCTCATCCCAGCACGTTTTTCATTTCGGTACCGCTGTCGCGTCGCTTATACCACTTTGCTGCTCTGTTCTGCATTCTCTCAATGAGATCAATCAAAGGCTTTTGTTGAGGATCCCACTCACAACACGCATATTCCAAAATCCGGCGGGCATACGAAATATAAGCAGTAATTTTTCAAGCAGCAGATGACGATCTCAGATTACGCTGAGTGAAATTTAGTGTTTTGGGGACTTTTGCAACCACAGCATGCACATACGCATTTCAAGAACAGTCGCTCACAAAGTTTACACCCAGGTATTTATACTTTGGTTGCCGTTGAATGACATCATCATTCAGAAAATGTGTTTCATTCATTTTCTTTTTTTTAGTAAAAGACACATGAACACATTTTTTAACGTTAAGTTGCATTTTCCACTTCTCACATCATATTGTAGTTTTGGTAAGGTCAGCCTGCAATGCAATGTGGTCCTTTTCATTTTTTATTTTTGTGTATACGACAGAGTCGTCAGCAAATAGATGTACTTCAGCGGATATTCCATCAAGAATGTCGTTAATGTAAACTAAAAACAACAGTGGCCCTAAAATGGATCCCTGAGAGACATCCGATGTTACTTCTATCTTAGACGAAGTGACACCATTCAGAACAACACATTGTCAACGCTATGACGGATAACTGGAAATCTATTTTAGCACCTTGTTTCAATATTTGCCATTTCAGTTTTGTGAAGAAACGAAGGGTGGGACACGGTATCAAAGGCTTTTCTGAAATCTAAAAAAAAGAAATGCAGCCTGTTTTTTCATTATCGTCCACCTCAGTCACTAAATCGTGGTAGAATTCAATCGGTTTCATTGTGCAAGACAGGCCCTTGCGGGAAACCATGCTGAACATCGACTAATGATTTGTGTTGAAGTAGGTGTTTCATTGTGCCTTTATACAGTATGTGCTCCAATATTTTGCAGAGAATTGATAGTAAAGGAATGGGCCTGTAATTGTTGGCCTCTTTCTTGGAACTACCTTTATGAATAGAAACCACATAGGCCATTTTCCAGTCTTCAGGCTGATTTCCAGTAATAAGAGTTTTTTTTCTATATTAGATAAAGATAACATGTAATTGACCAGGCACAGCACTTCAATATGTGGGGGGAAATGCCATCTGGGCCTGGTGCCTTAGTTTCATCTATATTTTTTAACAAGGATTCGATATAATTGACACGGAGTTCAACCAGTGGCATTACTGATTTAGTTGCTAAAAGGGGCTCAAGCAGTGTGAATAATTTCACAGTATCCTTCGCAGGTGAAAATACAGAATGAAAGAAATCATTGAGACACGTTGCCTTATTGATGTCACTGGACAAGATCTTACTGTCATGAACAATTTTGTCCACTCCAGTTGAATCAGCATTGCAGTTGCTTAGTTATCTACAAAAAAGCTTGGGGCTAGTTTTCATGCTTTCATTCAATCGACTGAAGTATTGATGCTTTACACTACATACTTCAGATTTATATTCATGAGTTACCTCCACTAACCTATCGTGCCGATATTTACTTTGTGTTCTTTTATATGCCTTGTATACTCATTGTCTTCTTATTATTCTAAAAATTGCTAGTGACACCCATGGCTTCTTACATTTTTTGAATTTTTCCGCATTTGTACTTGGCACTTACTTCTTCATTAGTTCCATGATTTTCTCTTTAAAGAGAAACCACAACTGTAAAACATTGACATTCTCGCAATGACAATCGAAAATAGGCAAATGAGCAAATAATTCTTGTAAAATAGCAGAGTAATCGCCCTTGTCATAAAAATAAACCTTTATGAATCGGCGAGGCTTTGGTCTTTTGATCGCATGCTTGATTGTTGCTACAATAGCAAGATGATCGCTAATACCTGGAATACATGTAACAGAGTCTACTATATTTCACGAATTGCAAAAAAGCAAATCCAAAATGTTATTGTTTTTTGTGGCCACACTAACATATTGAGTAAGACCGAATGTGTCAATGATCTTATTCATGTTAATGTTTTTGCGACAACCAGTCAAGGCGATAAGTGTTCTATTAGACCATGTCAAGTTTGGTAGATTAAAATAACCAGCAAGAATAAACTGATTCGATGTCTTCGAAATTATGCCGTACGATTGCTGTAACACGGCTGGGTTAGAATTTGGCGGTTGATAAAATGTTCTGGCAATAAATTTCATGTTGTCGGTAAGGGTCACCGTGCACCAGACAGATTCTACGTCATCATGCACAAGATAAAGTTCAGATAAACGTAAAGAAGTGTGAACAAACAGAAACACCCCTCCGCCTGTTCTTGCCCTATCATTGTGGTAAATGCTAAAGTGGCCAGGAAACACCTCACGATCACTTATTAATGTTATCAGCCACGATCCTGTCCAAAACACTATATCCGCCTTCGTAGATTCAATTAAGCCAGTGAACTCATCTATTTTATTCACAAGGCCTCTACAATTTACGACAGCTGTTGCGAGAAAATGAGACAGTCTTCCAAGTAGGGTGTCACTTCTTTTGAGCAAGAACTATCTTTTCTTTGATTTTGTCTCACATAAAGTCCTTGTCGTCTACAATAAGCTTGTCAAAAACTTATTATTAGAGTTCATAACATCATAAATTGATTGCCACAAAAAAAAGTTACAGTTCTGTCACAAGGTTGAAGCAATGAGTGCAATATCAAGAAATAAGATTGTTATACGAAGATTGACGAGGAGCTCGATACTTGCAGCTTCCTACTGAAGCACAAAAAAGGATGCTTCACACGCAGGTACCTGCAGGACAAGCGTGAATTAACAAACTGTTGCAGTTGTTATACCTTTGTGTTTGAGCAACATGCTGCAAGTGTCAACAACACAGGACCCGACACTAAAATATTTTTCTTTGAAAGTGTGGTGTGCAGAATGACCCCTCCGTGTCTTCTGCCACACGGTGGCATCTGAATACGGTGTTTGTGGCGTACTTTTTCTCTTTCGTTCCACTTCGCAAGTAGGTACAGAAAGGGGCCCATTTTTCATGCGCATCTCAAGGGCAATTCATAATTGTAAGAAAATGTAGGAGTGGTGCATGGCAGAAAAAAAAAGCATGCCATTACGTGACAGAAAACACTCTTGCATGATCTGTGTACCGCAAGCGGCAATTGGTGTCTATAAATACCTGGGCATTGGTAACCTGGCGCATGCATGTCATGTGGCTGAGTGGTCTAATGCGGCGTGATGCAAGCCAAGGGGTTCCTGGTTTGAATCCTCGCTTGGGTGCTATGAAATTTTTCTCTTCCAATCTATTTTTCTTTGTGCCTTTTTTGTATATACACACATACATATTTGGAGCATGACGGTGACTGTAAAAATTAACTGGGAGTGTCCATATATTTTCTATGGCAATAAATTCCTCGAATTCACCAGGAATGAGTTCAGTCAGTGGTGATTGTTGTACACTTCAAGCGCTGTCTCTCTTCTCGGCACGCTGGAACCTAAGCAGGGAGGATATAAGGAAAAAAGGTTACTGTGCAACATCATGATCTTGAGCATGCTAGATGAAACACACTCGCTCTCTCCTGTTAGTATTTTTGCACTTGAGTGTGGTAGCTATGTGATGTTGTCAGACTATGGAGCACGACACTGGCACATGGCGGCACCTTGTGGCAAAAAGTGCATTTGATTCAAATGTCTCACGTTATTTATATTAGCTATTGGCCAATGGCATGCTACTCGCTCTCTGACGTTAAATAGTAGCAGCCTGTAGCTTTCAAGTGAGCGAGGGTGGACCTTGGTATAGAAAGAGGGCGCCTGAGAAAATAGCAACTTCATGCTCCGCTTGTTAGCTCGCTTTGGCTCGCACGACTGCAAGATTTGGCGGAGATGCTCATTACAGTGTTTGCTATCTGCAGGATGTGTGTTCTCACCCAGGCATGGGTGAGAAAACACATCTTAGACGTGGTTCATGACCCCTTTAAGCATTGATACGATCATGGTAGCTGGCTGCATAAGCTAGATAGCTTATATAGTAATATATGCATGCACACCAAATGTATGTGAAAATGAACTACACTCATGACAGTTTAAGCTCTAATATTTGAAAGTAGGTCAATTTAAAAAATTTTGGCTGGGTCACTGTGCTCTCAATGTACTTTAAAGCCGCTTCATTCCGACAGCTGTATTTCATAAGTTCGAGTAATCAAAATTCTTTATTGCTTGTGGCAAAAAATATCTGACAGCTTTTTCACTTCTAGCTGTTGAGTCATTCAAGCAGATTACCTGTTTGCCAAGTGTTCAAACCAGCCACCAAAGCATGTGTGTGAACAATCGTGCATTGATGGAGGAATAAAGAAAAAGAATGCTCAAATCATTTATGTAGTTGTACACCTGTCTGAAAAATAAGTCTGGGCGCGCGAGCGATGACTGCAATCTGATGAAACTGCATCGCCATGCCATCTGACGTGGTCAGTGTGCATGCCTTTCACTTTCGCATTCATATCTTTTTACTCGCTTGCAACGGATCAATGATTAGATGTAGCATTTCGCGCCAGGCATTGCTTTCTTTCTTCGATCAGTGATGCACTCAATTCGGCGGGGGCACGGTGACGGTAAAATGTTCGTGTCTTGCTGCAGGGGCAACACAGAGCTGCATTTAACGCGCTAGTGGTAATATCTCCTTTTCCAGTGTCGCGAAAACTCTGGTGTCGGTTACTACATATGCGGTGGTGGTACAACACAAAAAATCAGCATTGTCCACGAGTGAGAACACAGGGTAAATGTGAATAAATAAAGAATATCGGTTCTCCTGGAGATCGAACCAACGTATTCTGCGTGACAAGATGTTTAATGTTATGTGCACACGCATTCTTTTCCTCACGGCGCAAGCAAAGATGAGAAGTAATGATGTGTGGGGCACCGGTTCACTACTGAGACAATCAGGGCGTGAGCGAGTCCCATACAATTCACTGCCACTGTGCCCCCGTTTAATTTAGCATGTCACGGATCGAAGAAAGAAAGTGATGCATAGTGCAAAACGCTACATGTAATCACTTGGTACGCTGCAAGTGAGTAAAAAGATATGGTTCTGAAAGCGAAAGGACGCGCATGCGCACTCATCACGCCAGAAAGTTCGGCGATTCAGTTTTATCAGATTGCGGTCGTTGCTTGCACGTCCTGACTTATTTTGCAGACGGGTGTACATTGATGCTGTCTTAAAAAAAAAAGCATACCAAGATATTTAAAGGGCTATTAGCTGTCGTGGGGCACATCACATTATGTCCCTTTATTACACATGCATGCACACTTACCATAATATACAGTACCATTATGATTGATGACATCTGAAGACTATTCTGGTTATCTTTCTGAGTTGTATATGATGTAGCTGGGCTGTGAGAGGAGTTTGATGAGGAATGAAATGCCGATATTTTCTGAAATCCTTTCAGGAGCATACTCAGTTTCATGAAAAATCAATAATAATGCATGATAGTTTTGTTCTGTCATGTGTTGTCTCCCTTCTTTTCCAATCTCCAAATTTCGAAATTTCTAGGTTTTTATGGGTGAATGGTTCAACAAAAGTTGGTATGTTGCCAAAAGTAATTGTATGAGAACTTCTGATAATTCAAACAATATCTTGGGGTTCTCTTGCGTTTGAATTATCGAGAACCTACTGATCACAAAAAAAAGGAAAGATATCTCTAGTTATGTCTGGGCATCATATCAACCAGCCTATAAGTTCACAATACTGACGCTGAAGTATCTTCTCAAATGTGAGAAGGAATTTTAGTCAGAATTCTAGATGATTTCATGCATGGGGAATTTTAGTCTAAGGTCGACGACAGCATAAAAAATTTTTTGGAAACGGACAGTGAAGAAAATACACAAGTCCCCTCTCCTGCTCCGCTGTGCCCTTGGTTTTGTTCCAAGTTTTAACACTTTGTAAAATTGCTAAGCATGCATTTAATTTCTTTCTCATGGTAAAGTGTCGACATATTGCACTCATTGCAGAGGTCATGTGTAGGCCCTTTAGCTTGACTTTTGTGTATTACCCTGAGCTTTCCAAACATACTTCTAATTATGGCATTGTTATTTCTTTTCAAGCAGAACAGTGAGATCAATGCTGACCTGGTTTCCGTCTCAACATGTGTAATGATTGGGATTCAGTGTGTGACCATGGCCCTCTGTGTCTGTGGAAAACCGTCGCCCGTGTCAAGTGCTGCGCCTTGGCTATGCTTCGATGGAAAGCTGTTTCACCTAATTCATCGGGATCTCAGGGAGTTGCAAACATCAGTTCCCTCATTATTACATCATGATGTAAGTGCGTATATTTCCATATTTTATGTTGGATGCGAGAGGTGAAATTGTGTACAGCTATCTCATGCTACTTTGTGTAAGGAATGGATGTTAGCTCAGCATAAGAACAAAGGGACTTGAGAAAGAAGGCAGAGGAAGCAAATTATTAAGTCCTCTTGTCAGGCTTCCATTTGTTCATATATGTTGTGCCAACTCACCCAACTAAATATTTTGCTAAACCATTATTTGTAGCTTTAATACATATTGTCACGTTATACTGTAACTACAACTGTAGAGTACACAAGGACATCAGGCTGCATAGACCACTGACAATACGACTTTATCGTCTTTTCTGCAAGCTCGTCTTCGTTCTCCTTTTAACAGCGGCACGTACAAGCCTGCCAGCATCTATAAAACCAATGCTTGCAGAACTTATACTATCGGCATTACCCCCTTTCCCAAAGAACATTGTCCCGATGTCACAACATAATTACGAGATGAATTGATTGAGTCGTCAGGTTTAACGTCCGAAAACCACCATATGATTATGAGAGACGCCGTAGTGGAGGGCTTCGGAAACTTCGACCACCTGGGGTTCTTTAACGTGCACCCAAATCTGAGCACACGGGCCTACAACATTTTCGCCTCCATTGGAAATGCAGCCGCCGCAGCCGGGATTCAAACCCGCGACCTGCGGGTCAGCAGCCGAGTACCTTAGCCACTAGACCACCGGGGCAGGGCTAATTACGAGATGAAAAAAAAACACGTACAATAACCAGTTAACTAGGGGATGTTCACAATCCCAACAAGTCTATACAAGGGAGTTTGACGAACAGTCAGCGTTGGTAAAACGGTTTCATTCTCGAAACATGGATGACATGTGGCTGTTGTGAACGGCGGGATTGACGAGCCTTGTCCTTGTCAAGAACCTCGTAGTTCATTTTGCTGAGATGATGAACTTTATAGGGACCAAAATAGCGCTGCAACAACTTTTCCGACTGGCCCCATTGTCGAATGGGTGTCCACAACCATACTCGTTCTTCGGGTTAGTAACAGACATTGCGACGACGAGAGTGTTGTAGTGCAGCGAGTCGATGTGTTGTTCCTTACTGATTCGTTTGACTGCAAGGTTGCGAGTCGCGTCCATGAGTCTGATAAATTCATTTGTCTTGACACTAATCTGGGACTTATCTAGTAGGAGCATGGCATTCAGCATTGTAGGGACCTCCCTGCCGGGAAATAACTGAAGTGATGTGAACCCGGTTGTTTCTTGCACAGCACTGTTGTAATCAGATGTGACGCAAGGGAGGATGTCATCTCAGTTTTTGTGGTCTTAGTCAACGTACATACATAGCATATCGGTGATAGTCTTGTTTAGTCTCTCTGTAACACTGTTGCTCTGTGGGTGGTATGCAGTAGTTTTTCGACTAAGCTGCATGGCGTCTTGTGTAGGCTTGTGCGAATAGTGAATTTTAGGTTCGAAATGAATAGTGATTTTGACCGAATAATTTCGAATCGAACTCGAGTGGTATGTATGACATATAAAATAAAGGGAATATTTATCATGACCTAACTAACCTGCACATTATTTCTTTTGAATTGAAATAGGGGCTCTATGCAAGTGCAATTTTTTTTTGTTCAAAGGAAGTCGAAACAACCTGGAGTAGTAGTTTTGGTAGGATGCGAGTGATAACCTCTAAGATACTTAATGTCTTCAAATTTATTATACTTGGAGCATATAAGCTGTCATAACAAGCTTAACAAAATAAAAAATTGATTTGAGGGTAGCATGTTCTTTTAAAGGGGCCCTGTCACACTTTAAGTAGCCATGGAGCCAGTAAACATGCTTATTGCCTCACAAATTTACCGCCGCAAAGTTTCTAGAATCAGTGCAGTTCGAGCGGAGTTCCAAAAATTTATCGCACGCTGCAATTGCATTCTCTCTTCTTGTCCCGACGAAATAGTTAGAAGTTAAGCTGGGAGGAATGGCATGGCGAAAGAAAGTACGACACATACACCTCGTGACCTTGAGCACCTCTTTTTTTTTTTGTCCTTCAATTACGTGGATTTTCAGTGCGATCACGCATATACTCGTGGACAAGTGGCAGCCCTGGTAACGACGAGAGCACCATGCTCAAATCAGCCAGTGGCTGTGACCAGAGCCGTGTATCCCTTTTTGGCTGTGCACAAGTGATTTTTGAGCTTGTAGTGTCATTTGCCGAGGGAAGAAAGCAATTTAGAAAATTCATTGTGAATTACAGGCCGCGTGCTGCGCTGTAATATTTGCCTCGCGTGTTCTCGGTGGCCTCGACTATTGATCGGCAGTGTTTTCCGACCACGTACAGCAAGTATTGTTAAGGGGGGCTTCGCGGCAAAGCGAATTTTCCTTTGATAGGTTCTTTCACGGCTTCGCATTTCTACATTGTAGTGAAACTACCTTTACAGGCAATGACATGCAAATGAAGGGGAGACGTGCTTTTGACAATGAAATTTCTTGTTTCTGGTCGGATGATGATGCTAATTGGCACACACTAAGAATGGCCTCACCGTGCATCCATAAAAATTTCAAGGCGATAGCACAAATACTTAATGAGAAACAATTTTTTTTTATTAAACCTCTTGGAGGGGCTGGAGGATTTATAAAATGACAAAAATAGTTGGTTATTACTGTATGCACAGCAAAATGTATGTTGAAGGCGGCTACATTCACAAAATTATTTGCGACACTGCAATGAACACACTTGCACCACAAACAAGAAACCCTATAAAAAATTTTTTAAGGAGAAAAATGAAAAACTAAGATTACAGCCCCCTGAAGCACAGTTCAAGGAGCGTTACAAAATAAACGTAATCAAAATCTGTGCAGTGGTTGCCCAGATATCTGCTCCACGAGCTGAGCATAATGCAAACAAAAATAACAGAATTGAGAATACTGTGTTTAAAGTTTCAACTTTTCTTTACGTCTCTAAAACACCTAAAAGTTTGGCTCAGGTTTGTCTCATGATATTTGAACTTCTCAGGCGATTGGTCTCTAACCAGTGTGCCTTGGTTTCCTTTTGTTTTTCCCCATAACCACCTTTTCATGATTTACAAAGAACAAGTATGGATTTCAAACCAAGGTATGAAGGAGTGGTTTGATAGGCATGACAGAAAAGATTGTTATTGAATAAGACTATATACCAAAGTTATTATACATATTTCTTGTGCTTAAGTTGCAATTAGCATAATTATTTGATTACAAATAATCACTGAATATTTCTTTATTTGGAGAGAGGTTTATTGCATCAGAAAAATGGATCACACCATGACGGCCTACGCTTTCCTTCCAAATAACAAAGTTATGGGCAGAAGAATGATGGCACAGGAATTTTTAGCAGTATATTTAATTATGCAAAATGGGCATATAAAAATTCATGCCCCTGATTCATACATGCTCTTTTGCCACTCTAGCCGTGAAACGCATCATCATATGGCCAGTCGCGGAAACGCTTATCTACGAGGCTTTCATTGCCTCAGAACACTTATAGACATTCGTGGCGATACCAAGCACGGCTCTAAGCACGTTTAGTCGCATCTCAAAAGGTTATTGACAGCACTCTATATGACCGTGGAGTGCGCGGCCGTGTGGACAGTGCAGCCGGCACGTAATGCACTTGCCGGCGGCGTTCGGTGACGATGCGTGAAATGTGTAACTACGATGACAAAAAAAAAAAAAAAAAAAAAAAAAAAAAAAACGGCGCGCACTGCGCTTGGCATTACATTTTCGAGTGACAGCGCGGAAAACTGCTATCCGCTGTTTTGAGCAATTCTTGGCAGTAAGCGGGGGGGGGGGGGGAGGGGGTGACAAGCTTCATTGTGTGGTTCGCTGCCGATGCGTAAAATGCCTGTACGTGGTTCAGAGGAGCTAGCGAGTGATGTGCTTCATTTCTTGCAAAGAAGCACGTCGCCAAGAGTGGGCTAGCGCGTCGTTCCTGCCCGCAGTCTCACTGTCAGTGGAGTTAGGGCTAAAGAAAACTCCGATGACGTGCCGCGCTCATAGACCGCGCGCCTGCTCGGAGTAATCTGATCGTGCCACCGCTTACAGCTTCATTGCTTGCGAAGAAGCACGTCGCCACGAGTGCGCTAGCGCGTCGTTCCTGCCCGCAGTCTCGCTGTCGGTGGAGTTAGGGCTAAAGACGACTCCGATGACGCACCTCGCTCGTAGACTGCGTGCCCGCTCGTAGACTGCGTGCCCGCTTGTAGAAACCTGATCGCGCATCCTCCCACGGTTCCTAACTAAAGTGTAATTATATCCTAAGTGATCATCGAACCGTGAACACGTAACAAAGTAGCGATTTTCAAGAGCCATGTCCTCGCGACGCACAAGCAGCAGACGATGATCTCCCGGAGGGAGCATCGGGCCAATGGCGAGGCGAGCTGAGACAACATGGCGGCCACAGCGAATCAAGGGCCTCGAACCGACCTTCAAACATTAGCATTTTGTGCGCTTTTTCTTAAAGGGAGGAGCCAGCTGAGGCAGGAAAGTTAAACGGGGAGAAATGCTCTTTCCGATTAGCCCAAGAAGCCGGCTCCCGGCCCCGCCATTGCGAAGCTACAATTTTTTAAAAATCGCTGTTTTCTCGCGGTTTCCAAAAAAAGTTTCGCTACCTAGGTAGCTGAAACTATTTTCTGAAACACTTTTGCGCTGTTTTCAGTGTAGATATTTTGGAGTCGCATAGAAAAAGGGTTCCAGAAACTGAAAACTTGATTTTCAATAAATCGATTTTTTTGCCATTTTTTGCGATCCCAAAGTCGCGTCCACCCTTAATATACACCTATTCGTTCATTGCGAATACTTTGAAAATATTTGATAATTTAAGTTCGAATCGAAGCGAATTTGAATACTCAACTATTTGTTCGAATATTCGAAGCATTCGAATATTCGCACAAGCTTAGTCTTGTGTCATCCGGGTGGTAAAAGCTGCGCCACGGTCAGTTAGGACAACTGCTGGTGCTCCATGACGAAGGACGATGTTCTTCAT